TTTAATAGTTTAAAAATAATTTATTAAATTATTTAATATATGTATTAATAATTAAACTATTAAATACTACTTTCTGGCATACTGCTTTTATTATAAACTATTTAATAATGTATATATGTATACATGTTTAATAATGCCACCTGTGTTGTACTTGTTTTTCAGTATTTATACATATATTCTCTAATTTTTTTTCTTCCTTACAACCCTGAGAAGCAGAATAGAACTCTGTGTAATTATTCCCAGTTTATGGATGGGAAAACAGCCCAGAGAAGGAACTCGCTTAGCCACAATTCCACAACTAGCCAATGGCCATACTATTCCAGAAATAATGTTTTGATCTGTTGTACTTGACCTTACTATTTATCTTCTTTGTGTTTTTTATTTTTTGCCATTAATATATATACTTTTGAATTTTAAACACATTTTTCTAAAATAACATACAAGGTGACAGAAAAATTCCAGGCACATTTAGTTGGCAAAGAAGCTGCGCCCCAAATCACTTTACTTATGTGATAGGATTCTGCAAGTTACACAAAAACAAACAAAGGATTTAAACAATAAGGAAGAATACGTTCTCTCATAATGAGCAGTCCTGAGGTGCTCCAGGGCTGGCTAATCATCAGAGTCTCTGATTCTTCTGTCTTTCTGTCCCCCATCCTCACCATGTGACTTTGTCCTCTACTGACGGCTGTCTGCATCTCAGGCGTCACAAACATGTCTGTAGAAAGTCCACTGGAAGGAAGGAACTGTCTGTTTTGTTTTTCTACTTAAGAGCAAGGAAACCTTTTCCTCCCGTCTTCTCCTTCTATCGTATTGGCCAAAACTGGGCCACATGCCCACTTCTAGGCAGGAGCGTATTATCCAATAGGCAAGGTAAGCATGGACCTTACCTTGCTTACCAGATCATCTGTAGTGAACAATTTCACGTTTTTCACCACATCAAAGATTCTGCTTCTAAGAATGGCTGGCATCTGTTTCTCTCCCAACCCCACAGCACCTTCGTACAGAATCAAAGCCTCTTTTCAAATTTACAGTCCCTGACAGGGGCGATGACCCAGTAAACTTACTTGTGCTTACTTACTAATCTTTAGTGAGCAGTTTCACTACAGATGATCTGGCGAGCAAGGTAAGCACAGTGCTTACCTTGCCTGTTGCATAATCTGTCCAAGCTTCTAGGCTAATCAATGGCAAGAGGAAAGGGTGATCATAGATAACTTAGACTAATGATTAGCTTAGGACTTTACCCTGACCTGGAGTTAGGGTCACCTTACCTGAGCACATGACTGCAAGGTAGGGTGGGCACCCAAACGAAATTAGTGCTCTGACCCCAGGGAAGAAGTGGAGAGTGGTTTTGGGATAGCAGCTTATACTTCTGGAGTGGTACTGGAAAGGTCATGCCAAGGTGAGCTAGTAGGAAGCTAGATAAAGGAAAAGAGCACACTGTTATTGTCAGGTATCTTCTCTTTTAGTTGATGATCCATTTTGTTTGCAAGGTCTTTTTGAGTACTGCTGATTGATGACTTGGGAGTCCCTGGGTGGTGCAAATAGTTAATGCCCTCAACTACTAACCAGAAGGTTGGTGATTCAAGTCCACCTAGTGGAGCCTCAAAGGAAAGGCCTGGCAGTCTACAGGTAGTCCCCAACTTAGGACAGGGTTCCGTTCTGACGACTCCTTTGTAAGTTGATTCTGACATTGTTAAGTCGATTTTGACGTAAGTCGGATACTTCTCTTTTTTTTTTTTTTAGTTTTCATTATTATTGCCTTTTATTATCAGTATCTTTATAAATCCGATCTTTATTTGCCTTTGAGAGTTGGAAACATTACATAAAAACATTTGTGAGTGAACATTTGAGAATGATAACATCAGCAGATTACACACTGCAGTGTTGTATGTAATACATGCTACTAACAATAAGACATACCAAAACAAGGATGGTTGTTAAGTGTGGTTTGGCATAGTTCGAATGCCTTGTAAATCAGGGACTGCCTGTACTTCCAAAAAATCAGCCTTGAAAACCCTATAGAGCATAGTTCCAGTCTGACACACATGAGGTTACTATTAGTCAGAGTCGACTTCACAGCATTTGGCAAGTTGGTGACTTATATTTGTATGGATGCTGGACACTCTGCAAAGCTTCTTCATCATCCACTTTGCCCTCTTTCCTAATACATCTTCCCCATAGCAGACAGAACACTGAACTAAGGGTTAGGGAGTTTTGACCATTTAAGTATGTTTTCTTAATCTGTAAAATGTCCTCACAGTGTTAACAGAGTTATAATAAAGGGTCAGTGAGATAATTTGCATGAAGAGCGCTTGTATCGAGAAGAAATGGTGTTGATTTGATTTCCAGAGAGACTTGCCCACAAAAAGATGTAAACATAATCTCCTTTTAAATATGCATAGGCCACCTATTCCAGTATGTATCTGCCCCCTCCCCCTTTTTTTAATGTTGTGAAATGACATTTATTTTTCTGTGAAACAGGGATATAACTGTAAGCCTGAAAAACTGCATTATGTGAAGCATTCAGAAGATTGTTGTTATTTGGTGCCTTTGAGCTCTTTTTTTCTTTTTTTTCCTTGTACTTTAGATGAAAGTTTACAGAATAGAGTAGCTTCTCATTAAACAGTTAGTACACATATTGTTCTGTGACATTGGTTACCAACCCCATGACATGTCAACACTATGCCGTTTTCAACCTTGGGTTCCCTATTACTAGCTTTCCTGTCGCCTCCTGCCTTCTAGTCCTTGCCTCTGGGCTGGTGTGTCCCTTTAGTCTTGTTTTGTTTAATTTTTGGCTAAAGGGTGAACCTCAGGAGTGACTTCATTACTGAGCTAAAAGGGTGTCTGGGATCATACTCTCCGCATTTCTCCAGTCTCTGTCAGGCCAGTAAGTCTAGTCTTATTTTGTGCATTAGAATTTTATTCTCCATTTTTCTCCAGCTGTGTCTCCTGTTTTGCACAAGGATTCCAATTCACATGCTCGGAGACATTTAATATTTGCACAGGTTAATGCACATACTTAGGACTTTTTTTTCCCCAAGAGATATGACTTGGGTGGCAGTGGAAAAGGAATGGATAGGTGACCTGATGAAACAAGTGTCAGATGGGAGTTCTGCATTTTTGTCTTCTATTTCAGCATTTTTAGTTTCCTTTTATTTCCTTTTTAGCCCCAACAGTACTTACTGACGTTGATCCTGAGGCCAAGGTGATGCAAGAAGAAATTTTTGGACCAATTCTTCCAATAGTGCCTGTGAAAAATGCAGATGAAGCCATAAAATTCATAAATGACCATGAAAAGCCCCTGGCTTTTTATATATTTTCTCGTAACAATAAGGTAAACTTCATAGAGAACAGCTTACTATCATAAGCCACTATCATAAATCATTTCCTTTTTTGCTGTAAAGCAAATAATGTTTTATCTTGTATAACATTAGAGTTCACCAAGTGAGGCTTATTCATAGATTACTGTCTTGGGTAGTGAGGCCCTAACGTTATTATCACTGTATCTTTTCCCATACTCCCTGGGGTTAGATTTGAGTCTGCTGGGGTGTCACCAGTTTTTGACTCACAAACATGTCCTGTATGGTTGAAAAGAGGTAAATGTGCCAGCATTAGATGCTTTTCTGATGTTTATCCACAGGGGCTTTCCAGTATAAGATCATTCCCCTTTTACCTAAGTGGCATTGACAGATACTCAGATGCGGCTGTGTAGGACAGAGATTTCTGGCACTGTCATGTAAGCAGTTATAATATCTTGGATTTCAGTTTCTCAAATTAAGTCACTTTGTTGTTCAATGTGGTGGAACCCCAACAGGCTGAGCAACTTGGAGGACTGCTTCATGGCTCATTTTTCTGCATTGCTAGTACTGGCTGCTGCCGAAGGGGTAGTGGCCTCAACGTGGGAAAGTAGGTTCAGGAGCCCTCCCTCTGAAAAAAGGGAAAACTGAAAGGGGGGGGTGGGGAATGGGGGCAGTCAAGGCCTGAGGAGTTCATAAACAGCTGTTTTTTGAAGAGCTTTTGATGACTCCGTACAGGCAGTCATGTGACAGCTTCTGGAGCTTGAGTGCTGTGGTGACACAGATACTACAGGTATCTGAAGTGAGACCAACTGTAAGGCTCAATAAAGAATGGGCTGTTAACAAAACAGTGGTCTGACATGTGAACTCATCATACATAATGTAGTGTAGGGGGACCCTGAAGTCTAAAGTATTACTGGCCAGGGTACAACTCGGTGAGGGGCTGGGGAGTGGGGCACTTCCTAGCAGTTGAGTCATCTGAGGTGCTACAGTCCATACCTGGCCTTAACTACCAAGAGCTCTCAAGGGCTTGCTGGCACCCAGGTGAAATGACATAGACCAGGAAGTGTTTTTGTGCCTACTTGAGTATTAGGTTGATGTTTATTTCTTCAAAAATAGGGTGCTAAATCTGAAATGTTAAACATTTTTTGTATTTCATGAAGACCAAAAAAAAAAAAAATCTACTACTCATGTACTATAATTTAAGATACAGAAAACATTAACCATTTTTAAAAACCGAAATGTAATCTGAACTGCCCCTTATAAAAAGCCTTTTGCTGTTTTGCGTTTGTAAACCTATAGGTGGTGATTCAGTTAAAAGCCCTGAAGATTTAAGGCTGCTTCACTTGATGTATTAGATGTGCTTTTTAGGTGTTGGATATATTGCTAAATTGAGTCACAGTTTAGATCACTTATCTTTTAGGTCAGGTCAGTTTGTTGATGCCAGAATAGACACCGTATCCCCAGACTTGAGACTCCTCTGAAGCACACAGGTAGAGGACACAGCCCCTCTCTTGAGGAGCTGTGCCTGGGCCCACGGTCAGCTGTGGTCCTGACCTAGAAAACTTTGTTTTGTTACCTAGTTGATCAAACGAATGATTGATGAAACGTCCAGTGGCGGTGTCACAGGCAACGATGTTATTATGCATTTCACACTCAGTTCTCTACCATTTGGAGGAGTAGGTGAGTATTACCTTCTTTTGTCCGTGGTAAATAAAGCACCAACATTTCACAGATAATTTGTCCGGGCTGTTGAAGTTAGCAGGCTGCTGCTACTTCTCATCTCTGCTTGATTGTCCACTCCTATAGAGGCCTTCCTGACCACCAGTCCCCCGCCCCTGCCAGCTCCTCCAGCACAGGGTGCATCTCCGTCCTATTGCCCGCTTTCCTTCCTTTGTAGGACTTAACACAATCTGTAATTATTTTGTTCATTTCATTTGTTTATTTATTTATTGTCCTAGATTTTGGGGATTTTTTTGTTTTTTGGCCAACGAGAAAGTCTCAAATTAATTAATAAGATCTCTCTCCCTCGTTTTTTAAATGAGGTAGTGAATGAAAGATTCAGCGTGCCACGGCATAGACAGCAACCAGAAGGGTTTTCTAGTGTCCATTTATTTTCTACTCAAGGTGACATTAAGTAGTAATCAGTTCTTAGCCCAGCCCCCTTCTGGGAGCCGCCTCTCCTTGAATTGTTTTGCAGTCTGAGTAGAGTCAGACTCCCCATGTCCTAGGGAGGATGAACAGAAAGAAGTTCACACTCAGTGATGCTCTGTGGACACAACCTGTTCCTGCTGCTTCTCCCCTTGCTTCCCTCTTACACCTGAGATGATGAACCATGATGACATCTTATTTCAACTTCTTATTTTTCATTTGGGTGCTGGTTTTCTGTCTTCTCTAATAGAGATATTACAAAATAACAAATGTGTAAAAATTCTCATAACCAAAAGCAAACGACGAAAGCAGATGGTTTAAAAGCTTATGCTTTATTCCCTTCCTTTGTCATTGCTTAAATAAGTTACTCCATGTAAATGAAATGGCCCCACACTCTCAGTGAGCAAGTCACCTGTGCCTAGATTAAGGGAGTCTCACCCCTAGCCTGCTTCCCGTGACCCACCCAGTGCCTGGCATGTTGTGAGGGACAGGTGGGGAGAGACCTAGTAAGTGGGTATTGTGGGGTTCATCTAGAAATGATGGCCATGTGGACTACGGTGGTGGCAGAGGAGACAGTGGAAGAGAGTGGGTATTTTTGAGGTTAAGCAGCAGAATTTGCTGATGGAGTGGGTGGGTATGATGGCAGGGAGTGGGGGAGGGGAGGGAAGGGTGGTAGGGACGAAGAGAGGATGGCTTCTGGGATTTTGGCTGGAGTAATTATAGTTTCACTGCCCACATTTTTACAAGATTAGATTAGACTCTGTTATCTCCAGTTCCTCAGCTGAGCCCACAGGATTCTAGCTTCCATTGTACCATTGGGGTGACTGTGGGAGGTCACCAGAGGCCTCCTAATTGCAAATCTAGTGACTTGTTTTCAGACCTTATCTTACTAGACTAGATAGCATTTGGTATTGTTGACACCGCCTTCTTCTTTAAAACAAAACAAACATTTTTCCCTCTAAATGCAAAAGGAATACATGCTTTTTTCGAAAACTTGGAAAAGATAGAAGAGCCCACGGGATAAAAATTTGAATTACCTGTAATCCCACTGCTTAAATATAACCACTGGTGTATGTCCTTAACCTTCTTTTCTTTGCATGTATATGCACACACATATACATAAATTCATGAGTTTTTTCCCCCAAAATAGTATCTTACTATGTATTGTTTTCTAGCCTGTATGTGACAATGTAGGCTGAAAATCTTCCCATGTCAGTATGCTTCTACCTCATGATTTTAATAACTGCATTCTGTTCCATCATACGAATGTTGCATATTAACCAGTTCCTGTTATTAGATTTTGTGATTTAAAATTTTTCTCATTGAATATGTCTTTGTACAATCTCTGATTATTTCCTTGGGAAAAATGTTTACAAGTACAATTGCTATATTAAAAGAGCTTTTACATTTCTTCAAAATGAAAATGCTTTTTTCTTCTAACTCTTAAGAGTAATATAGATTCAGTGGTGAAAAAAACATTACAGAAAGTTATAAGAAAAAATATAATCACTTCTCAGGGATAACCACTATTAACATTTTGGTATATAGTTTAGATTTTTCTTTAAAAATGTATATCTTTAAGGCTTTTGATACTGTAAAAATGGTGTGAGGATGGAAGAGAATCAAGATCAACATCAGCCCAAGGCTGATCCCTGTGAGGTGGAGGTCAAACATACCTCTACCCTCCAATCTTTACCAATTCTGACACCAGCTGTCCCTCCCACTGCACTCTACTTCTCTGCTGGGTTTGATAATTTTTTGCAGTGGCCGCACAGAACTCACAGACCATGTTCACGATTATGGGGTTTATTAGGGAAGTAACAGGTTACAATTCAGGATCAGGATCAGGAATGACTCAGGAAGCAGTTCTTCAGTGGTCAGACAGCTCCTCAGCTGTACACATGAGCAGGCCTCTCCCTTGGCCCCTGAGCCCCTCTGACTGGCCTCTGCCCTACTCGGGCAAGTGTTACAAAGCCCTTTAGTTCTGCCAATAAGTGCCCAGAGGCACCCCACTCTACCAGAAAGCCTCCTGCTCAAAGGTACTCAGCTCTCTCGCTTCATGGGTCAGCAAGCCTACTGTAACTGCCTTGCTCTGTAGGCCAGGAAGCCCACCACGCTGTCTCGCACTGTTCTTCTGGTTCTGCTGCCGCCATTTCTCTGCTGCTGTTGCTGCTGCTTGCCATCTCGAACCGTCCCCAGTGTTACAGCTCTCTCTCTCTGTCTCCTGGGTCTAGGAGGTTCTCAGCACAGGGACTCTGGGTCCAAAGGATGCATTCCACTCCTAGCTCTTCTTCTTGGGGGCAGTGAGGTCTCCCCTTTCCACCTCTGGGATGGCTCATTTTAAGCCTTGTGGGATGGCTTATCTGACTAACCCCCTTGTTAGGATACCATACACCTTATTTGCATGGTCCTTCCTTCACGAGGGTACCATGCACCTTATTTGTATTATTAGCAAGCTGTCCAATCTCCTTGGTGGGCCACAAGCACCTTATTTGCATAGTCCCTCCTAGTCATTTGGTGGGAGTTACAAGTCCATGGCTAGAATGGCCATACAAAAGCAATCCATAGCACTGCAGATTCGTATTGCCAAATTTCCCTGTAAAGTTGGGCCATTTTATATCTCCATGAGCAATATATGAGTGATTGCCCCATAATTATCAACACTGGATATTTCCATTACTAAATGGCTAGGCAAAAAACATGTCTCATTTTAGTTTGTATTCCTTTCATTATTAGTGAGGTTTGAACTTTTCTCAGTTAGTTCTCATGAATTTTCTGTTCATGTCCTTTGCTTGATGTTTTTGTTCACTTTTCCTTATTGATATGTAAGTACCCTTTTTATAACTAAGAAAATTAATTAAATGATCACATCTGTAGCAAATATTTTTTTCCAGATTGCAGTTTGTCTTTAATTTTGTCTGTGATTTGAAAATTTATGTAGTTAAACCTGTGATGCCTTTTGCTTTATGGTTTCTGATTTGAGAGTTAGGCTTAGAAAAGTCTTCTCTACTTCAGCATTATATGACTATTCATCTGTATTTTTTTAAAATTCTCTAATGGTTTGTTTTTTACATTTAACCGTGGAGTTATTTTTTCTCAAAGAGTAAAACAATTATGCTGGCACCAGTTTTTTTGAATAATTACTGGTTTCATTGATCTTTCTGGATTTTTTCCCTCCTTAATGAGTACCACAGTGTCAATTACTATAGCTTTACAGTTAGCTTTATAGCTAGGATTTAGTATGTGCTTATTATATGCCAAGTACTGTGGTTGAATACATGGGTTTTGGAGACAGTAAGTAGTAGTGCCAGGAAGTGAGCTCAAGTTGCCTGTCTCTGAGACCCATATATTCAACCAATCCAATATTTGCTCTTCAGGACACAGTACTGTTTCAATATCTGGAAATAAAAGGCCCTTATTATAATTTTGAATATTTTCTTACCTATTTTTATGAAAATTTATCCTTCCAGATGAACTTTAGAACCAGTTTTTCAGTCTCTTCTCCCTCTTTGCCCACTTCCTTCCCATACTCAAAAAAAAAAAAGAAAAGAAAAAAAAATTCCTTTAAATCTCCCTGGGATTTTGATTGAAATTGCTTTAAATTTACAAATTATTTTGGGAAGAATTTGTATCTTTAAAATATGGAGTCTTATGGGAACATGTTATGTCTGTTCATTTTATACAACTCTTTCATGTTCTTCTGTAAAATTTTTTAGTTTTCCTTCATATTGTTTACCTTTCATATTAATTTTATTTTAAGTGTTTTGACATACTTTTTCTTGACACCCTTTTTTTTATTTTTTAAAAAATATACAATATACAATATTTTTCAATTCAACCATTTTTCATGTGTATAGTTTAGTGATATCAATTATGTTAATTGTGTTGTGCAACTGTCACCAGTAATCATTGCCAGATTTTCAATCATAATGAACAGACACTTACTGCTCCCTAAACAGAGACTCCTCTTTTCCCTCTCCTGCCCACTCACCACTGGTAAACTTTGTTTTGTATACATTTGCCTATTCTAGATATTTCATATAAGTGAGATAGTATTTGTCCTTTTGTGATTGTTTTATTTCACTCAGTTTAATGTTTTCAAAGTTCATCCATATTGTAGCATGTATCAGGACTTCATTTCTCTTTATGGCTAATATTCAATAGTATGGCTAGACCACGTTTTGTTTATCCATTTATGTGTGGATGGGCACTTTCTTGCCAAACTTACTCTTCCTTCACATTATGTTTTCTGTTTCCTTTCTCCTTCGTCGTGTCTTTGGTCAGCTCCTCCACCTCTGCCCTCCTTAAAGGTCAGAGTTCTCAGGGTTCTGTCATCGGTCCTCTTCTTACACTACACTTGCTTCCTAAACAGTCCTTTCCTGCAGCTCTAGGCACCACCTAACTGTTGATGACACACACACTGCGGCCTGGCCTGCTGAACTGCTCACTGGCCTTCGGGTGTGTGGGTCTTATCCTCTGCCATCCACATACTCTTCTCTCTACTTCTGCCCTATTTACCTGCCAGTCCACTGTACACATAATAAAGTAGGAAAAGGAAAACTGTTACAGAACCTGGATTTTTAAGAGTGCAGAGATTTACACTTACTTATTATCACCTGGCTTCATAACCCTGTCACACTGGTCTCCTTTGCTTTCTATGGCCCACCAGCCACTCTGCGGGAGAAAGATGGGGAAGTCTGCTTCCATAAAGATCATAGCTTTGGAAACCCTATGGGACAGTTCTGCTGTGTCCTGTAGGGTTGCTATGAGTCGGAATTGACTCGATGGCAATGGGTGACTCCATGGCAATGGGTTTTTTGGATTAAAGGAAGCAAGTGGATGAGCAGGGCCATGGGTAAATAAAACCACATGGAGCCGTGGTACAAGAGCACATGTAGCATTTAGAGTCAAACTGACCTGGGCCCACACATTGGGTTTGCTACCTACTCTCCATGGGATCTGGGGCTGATTACATGACCTCGCTAAGCTTTTTCCTTTCTGGAAGTATAGGTGATAGTACTTTACTCAGTAAGGTGGTAATGTTAATTTAGTTAGGTATGGCTTTAAACTCTTAGCACAGTTTCTGGCATAAATGAGAGCCACTACCCTAAAGAGCGACAAACGCTTGCCCTACTGTTGGTTAGTGTTCTGTTTGATAGGGAGATTAAATTTGCTGGGGAACGCTAGAAAGGAGTTCTTGAAAAGAGGTACTTCCACTGCCAGAGAAGTTAAATGGGGGCATCCCAGGCAGCAAGGAGTACATGTGGGTTTTCTTGGTCAGTGTTGAGAAGGACCACGCTCAACTCTTGTGTCATACCTACCAAAAAACCAGTTGCCGTGGAGTCAACTCTGACTTATGGTGACCTCACGTGTGTCAGAGTAGAACTGTGCTCCCGTAGGGTTTTCAATGGCCAGCTTTTCAGAAGCAGATTGTTAGGCCTTTCTTCTGAGGCACCTCTGGGTAGACTCAAACCTTCAGCCTTTCAGTTTGCAGCCAAGTGTGTCAACCATTTGCAGCACCCAGGGACTCTTGTCATACCTACAGTGAAGCCTTTTTGTCTGTTCCCTTGATTTCAGGTTCGAGTGGGATAGGAGCTTATCATGGAAAACATAGTTTTGATACTTTCTCTCATCAACGTTCCTGTTTATTAAAAAGTTTAAAGAGAGAAGGTATTAACAAACTCAGATATCCTCCCAACAGCCAGTCAAAGGTGGATTGGGCAAAATTTCTCATTTTGAAACGGTTTAACAAAGGAAAACTCTGTCTTCTGATGCTCACTGTCTTGGGTATTGTAGCAGCTGTGCTCATCAAGGTAAGTCTCCAGTGCTCATGAGGTGTCGGTGTGAGTGGCTGCCACATGTATTTTTTTCTTCTGCCTTGGGAATTCTTCTACTTTTATAAATGAACCATATCTCAAATATTAACTGTTAGAGCTGCTGGCCCACTACCTATTTTTGTAAATAAAGTTTTATAGGAACACAGCTACACCTGTCTGTTACTGATTGTCTTTGGCTGCTTTCATGCTGTGATGGCTGAATTGAGTAGGTGGAACAAAGCCTAGATGACCCACAAAGCCTAAAATATTTGTACAGAAAGTTTGCTGACCTCTGGCCTAAGTTTAAAACACTGTAGAACTTGCTTGCAGAATTCTGAGTTGGCTAGCCTTCTGATCCTTTAGCTTTCGTTCTGTCATTTTAGTTTCAGTTTTGTTCTTGAATATGCATGAAATCAGCATACCCTGGAAATGGAGGAGAGTGTTCTGTGGTGGAGGGTAATGGTGGTGAAGCAATTTTGGTGAGGAATATTTATTAGGCTGGAGTGTTTTTCCTCCAAAGTTGACTACCAGATAAAGGTTGTCTTGGGTGGGTAGTTGTTATAGAGATGGGCTTACAAAGAGGCCCTTGTGATAGCTGCCTTCCTAAAGCAGTTTGGGTATCTTTCAGAGGAATGAGAAAATCCATGACAATGAAAGTTAAGATGGAATGGGGAACTAACCGAATTGTGTTCTTTGAGCCCTCAGCTGCTGACTGAGGAGGTTGAAACTGTTGACAACGTTTGGGAAGAGAGACAAGAATACAGCATTTAACATCTATTGGAAATAACTGTATTTATATTTATATTTTGTTTAAAATTTGAAAAGGGGTTGGATCCTCTTATAATATCACAGCTTCAATGGTAATATGCTATCGATTATATCACAATTTAGCGGAATTGACGATTTCAGTTGCATTTGAAATCATTTGGGTTTTCTCAGAAATACCAAGCTGTGCTGAGGAGAAAGGCCCTGTTGATTTTTCTAGTAGTTCACAGACTGCATTGGTCCAGTAAACAGTGGTGAACAGCAGATTTCAAATCCTTCTCTGTAAAGAGCAAGGTAGGAACGCCTTGTTTTCTTTTTATATGTAAGGTGGGCCAAGTTGGGATATGTTTTCTTTTAGTTACATGTTTTGCTACAGTTGGAGGCCTTAGGGGTTAGTGAAAGGAGAATGTTTAACTTATCTCCAAACATTTCAGACTTTGGCCCAGAGTATCCGAGTGTTAAAACTCGCCTTAGTCACAAATTTTAATAGAAGGGGGCTTTGCTGGAAATCTAAGAGAAATGTGTAGAGGCAATGATTTACCTGAAGCACAAACCATTTCTGGAAAAAGGACAGCCATGATAGTGAGCCCTCTTACCCTTCTACATCCACACAGCTCTCCTGGAGGAAGTGCCATTTTGACACTGACCTCTTTCTCTTTTTTGTACACAATTTAAGAATAATCTTTTGAAAATGTCTGAATCATTTTTTGTTTTGTTTAAAAAAAAAGTTTGACTTTGGAATTCATGGTAGCAAACTTAGTCAAGACTTAGTAGGTTAAGGATTTCAATTCTACATCTTTCTGAGGCTGTGGATATGGTTGGAGGCGTGCTTGGTTCTGTTGTCTACCTTGCTCTTTTCCCAAGACATTCTTCCTCCAGCCTAATATGCAGCTTCCTAGTTGGGACAGAATTCCTCAGCCTCATGGAAAAGATGGAGAACTGGGATGAATCTACGCTCCCCGCCTTGCCATATTCCCAGGAAGGCCCCCCAAGTGCAGTTGCACCACGCCAGACAGGCTGGGGCTGGACCGTGAGTCCATTTAGAGTTCACACGAGGGTTTGGCAGACTGATCTTTCTCTGTTAGGGTCTAGAGAAGCAGCAATGTATAAAAACATTTAGCTGAGGATAAGAAAATGTGGCTTTGATCCCTGGCTCTGATACTGACTTAAAATGACCACAGGCAAAGCCTTTTCTGAGCCCTTTCTAGGCCTAGCTTGCTCATCCCGAGGCCACTTTCAACTCCAGCTCTCTCAGTTCTCCTTACTGTTAGCTGATGTGTTAGCTGCTCCTATTTTGTGGGGTTCAATCTGGAAGTAAAGATTTGGCTTTCTTTTCCTCTTTGTGCTTCTTTGGCCTTCTCTTTGAGCTTTTATCCTCCTTTTGTCAAGTCATCTTTTATTTGAGAGAAATGACTCTGAGACAATATTGCATATTTTATGAGGAGTCTTTATTATAATAATCGATATTTTTATGAAATTGCAAACATTTTTCTGAAATTGCCCTTCTACAATTAAGAGTTTACTTCTTTTGTTATATACTTTGATTTGATTTTATTAATTGGCTTTAATAGAATTAGAATAGATATGGAACATTTTAAAATGGGAAATCAGAAGCAGTGATTACCAGTCTAAAGGGAGCATATCAATCTCAGAGGAAGAGAAGTTCGAAAAGCTTACTCTGTATGCATTTTTTAAGAAATGTAAGTACACAAAGTAAATTTTCAGTAAACTTAATATAAGCTACAAAAAGCACTATAGGGGTATGGATTTAAAAAGGTTGAGAAATATGGGATGTTAAAGTTGGTTAATGTCATTAGGTCTTTGAAAATTAAATATAACATTTGAACTTTGAGGTTGCAATAGCACCACTTCAGTCTCCATAGATAGGAATTAAATTCAATACTGCTTTTCAATTTTAGAAATAAAATTGTTCCCAGTTTTCAGATTTCATGTAGAGACTTCAGCTTCCTAGTTACAATGTTGGGAAAGTAAATGAGGATTTTCAACTCCTATCTCTACTGTGATATTGTCTCACACTGGACAGAATACAGCTTCCATCACCACGTTTTGCTGCTGCTGCTGTTTGAGGGAGGACATAGGCCTTTATTTTCAGCCCAGACTTCACTTATTTCTTAGGGATACATAGGCCTTTTTTTAATAAAATACATTTAGAGTCTCTTAAGACAGGAGGTATTTGTTAGAGTCTTGATATTAAATGCATTTTCCAAGACTGGTTGGGTGGGTTTTTAAACCAGCAGAGTAACCTGGATTCCTTTCTCTTCTCTCTAGGCTGGATACTACTGAAGAATGATCCTGTTCAACCACCTACTTGCCGCTTCTGAATAATTCTTTCTATTAAATGATTAATGAACCAATAATTTTAAAATTCTACTAAAAATAGTAAGAAAGATAATGCAGATGCACTGTGACTAAACCTAAAAATTATTGCCACTCATGATTAATAAAATTTGCCATTTCAGCCAAATCCTAACATCCCCCAATAGTAAAGGTACCCAACAGCATCTGTTCTAGATCGTGCTTACTCAAATCTTAAACCTTTGGGGTAGAGGAAGAGAATGCATTAGGCTAAACCCAGACTGTTTGTGGGTGTAAGGATATCACAGGCCTATTCAGTGAATTCTTCAGTTCATGGGACACCTCACCTGCTGCCCTGGCTGCTGCCGCAATTGCTCAAGGAAGCTTTTCAGAGCTATGTTACCCGATAAGGTATGGAGGCTGGTTTTGTCAGCACTGCTTAGGATTACCAGCATCAAAAGAGATGAGACTAGATTTTCCCAGCTCCTCTCGAGGTTTGAGGCATTAGAACTGTGTGCGGCGGCCTCTTATCCACTGGGACTTGAGCACCTGGCCTCCAGAAGTTGGCTCTCTGGTCAGATATGCCGTCTGATGCATGGTCTCCATCCTTTCTTATCCATTCTTTGTCCTGAGTTGTGTGTGGTTTGTGGAATTCTGTGTTGTGGTTGTCCAGAAGTGCTTTTGGTAACTAATGTCACTGAAAGCATCTTGTAAATCTAGGGCTCCCTAGAAGACACTTGCCAATTTCCTGCAAGTTATCGTCTGTCATTCTTACGGCTTTGGAGGTGTAGAATTCCACATCTTATCAAAACTAATAGGCCTTTTTAAAATGCTGTAATAAAAGTACTTATGAAAATGCTTATATTCTCTTAGGACCCTAAAGTTGCAAGTGAGCAGATCTGCAAGGACAAATCTCTAGGTTTCTTATTTCTGTAGCACAATGCAAGTAGATTTCACCTTTTATAACTTCAGATAGATCCCTTTTGGAATTAATTCATCCTACAGAACTTAAAGTGGGGAAACCATTTCCTCTAACAGGAAAGAAGCCTTGGATATTCAGGACTTTGGGGCTTGAAAGTCTCATGGGGCAGATGGTGGATCAGTTGGAGAAGTTTGGAGAATAACCATGATCCATTGCTGTCGGGTTGATTCCAACTCTAGGTGACCCTGTAGGACAGAGTAGAACTGCCCCATGGGGTTTCCAAGGCTTTAATCTTTACAGAAGCTTACTGCCACATCTTTCTGCAGTGGGTTCGAACTGCGGACCTTTCAGTTAGCAGTGCTTAACCCTTGCACCACCAGGGCTCAATAATAACTGTGAGCCACAGCAATTGATCATACTGAAGGGGATGGAGAACATAGTAATAGGAACTGCAAATGTGGAGTCAGTAGCTCCCCAGCAAGGTAGAAATTATCCTCTTTCAGAGCCTCATGTGGCCAAGACCTGAGGCACTTCAGCCAAGTTGGGAAAGTACTAAAAAGAATTGGGCAAGTGGAACCCGGCCCTTTCCTCAGGGCAGTATTATGCTTCACAACTCCTGGCTCCAGGGGCTCCCCCTTGCTTCCCCTCTACATTTGAAAGCAGACTCAGCCCGCTCAATGAGAGACTATAATTCTTCATAGAATGTAAAACCAAAGGGCTATCAAAAGTATGTTACGTTCATCATTATCACAGTAGGAAGTGTTAAGAGTGTTACCCTAATACTCCCCAGCGTATTTTCTCCTTGTCAAAATGGGCAACTGAGAGCTTGATGTAACTAACGCCATGATGAGCCTGTAAGTTTTTTTCGTTTTTCTTTGCCTTCTACTTGTCGCATACCTTTGTTAACAACTTTGTTTTGCTCTGTCCGGCCACCTGTGGTTTATGAACCCCCACAGCAAGATTAGAGCCCAGATGTCAGATATGTATATCTTTAGCCTGATAAGGAAGTGTTCAGTTCCTTCTCTCTTTAGTATGATAGAGTCCCTTGTAATTACCTTGTAATGAATAACAACACTTCTAACCTTTGTAAAAATCATATATAAGCTCTAATGTAAAAATGCTTTTTGCTGTCGGATCCCCGTTGGTGTACACCTCCTAAATTAAAACTTTCTCACTCTTTCTGACTTGGAGTATGTTTCACTGGCTCGACTGTTCCAGGGCATGGACCATATTTGGGTAACAAATTTTTGGCACCCAACATGGGGCTCAAATTACTCAGGCCCTGGTTCCAGCTCCCTAAGGACTGAGCCCCTGGGAAGGACCCGGGAAGAGAGAAGGTGCACCCCTCCTCAAGTTGTGGAGGTCTCTCAACCTGTGGTGGCCCAGAGGTCTGGCGATGGGGGAGGACTTCACGGCAGTGAGCTCTGGACAGAGGGAGAAAGTTTCTGTTGGCCTTGGTAGGTAACTGGGCATCGGGCAGTAAATCCTCTGTAAAAGCCACAGGGGCGTTGGTTCTCACAGATTCCCTCCAAGAATGGGTGACTAGGTCCCTTGAGGTTGGACGGGAGACCGGTGAGATTCCCCATTTCAGGTGGGTAGCCATGGAAGTAAGGTTCCGCCTGAGAGTCCACTAGGAATTGGACTTACTTAGGAAGGGATTCCCTAACTAGGAGACATCTTCAAGGTTTATGTAATCAGGTGTGGCCTCAATACCAGCTCCCCGATGGGGTTAAATGACCTTTAAAATGGTTTTAGAGATTTTGGTATCATTATGAAGTTGATCTATTTTGTACTTGAACTAAAAAGTGGGATGAAAAGCTGTATGTAGAATGTTTTATGACTTTATGGCATGAAAAAAGGATAAAGCCTCTGTTTTAGTCCCTCTTGTGCAGGTGAATGATGATGACGGGGTAGGAGATGAAGAACCAGAGGATGTTCTTCTCATTCCTCCTCCTCGAAAAACCCCCTCGACACCCATTCGTGACCCCTCCCTGGTGGTATCAGAAAATGAGGATGAAAGGCGTTAAAGGGGGGGCGGAGGAGGTGGGACAGATGTGATCTCCCTACCCCATACTAGGAGTGGTGTACAGTTTGGCCTAGTTCCCCCAGGAGGGCTTTACCCACTCTGGGAGGTGGCAGTCCCCGCTACAGAAAGGCCCACCTCAGATGATGTGGGTCCCTAATCCGTTCCCAGCTTCAGATTTGTGCAATTTGAAGTGAAACTTTCTGGAGTATTGGTCAGACCCATATGCCATGACTGAATGCATTTAAGGTCTTTACCAACAAAGATCAGGTAAAAGAGGCCAAGGAGAGAAAATAAGACCAGGACATGAAGAAACAGGCCAGTCTACTGGCTGCTGCTCTAAGATGGTCTGGAGGAAGGCGACAAGATCAAGGTAAGGGTGGGCCCCAACTAAAGAAAAACCAATGTGCATTTTGCAGAGAGGAGAGACACTGGAAAAATGAGTTCCCCAAAAGAAAGAATGGAAAAGGGCCAGGCAAGATTGAAAGGGGGGAGAAGCTTTTTGAAGGAATTATGAAAGAGCAGGAGGAGGACTCTGAATGACGGAGATGGGGAGACAACTTTTGATTTACTTCCAACCAATCCCCTGGTAAAAGTTACGGTGAGAGAACAGCCAGTAGACTTTTGGCTGTACCGGAGCAGCCTTCTCGGTATTCACCCGGTAGCCTAAAGGGACTCCCTCAACCAGCAGTACTCAAGTTGTCAGGGTGACTGGAAGAAAAGGTGACTTGATCCTTTTTGCAACCAATGGACTGTGAAATAGGGGAAATCAGGCTATCCCACCAGTTTCTATACATGCCTGAATGCCTGGTCCCGCTTTTTAGGGTGGGATTTCCTAAGTAAAGTGCATGCTGAAATCTCTTGATAAAAAGGCTTGTCTCTAACAGTATTGCCAGCAAACACCTGGAAAGTGCAAGCACCTCTCTTAGCCCTCACCCAGCAGGTGCTATCCCCTGCGTCCGTCTCACCCACAGTTCAAGGAGTGGTTAATACTGTGGCCGCATGTGTTTGGGCCAGTGGCCGGCTAGGACGAGCTCGGACTGTCCTCCCTGTGATCGTGGAGCTGTTACCTAATGTCATGCCTTCTCGTATTAAACAATATCCACTGAGCGCTGAGGCTCGTCTGGGACTGCAGGGACTGATCACTGGACACCTAGAGTGGGGACTGTTGCAAGAGTGTCGATCCCCTTTCAACACCCCTATTCTGCCAGTAAAGAAATCAACTGGTGAGTACCATTTTGCAGGCTCTTAACAAAGTTGTGAGGACCCTACACTCGGTAGTCCCGAATCCGTACACCTTACTGTGGGCTCTCCCACCTTCCTGTACTCATTTTACTGTTTTGGATTTAAATGATGCTTTCTTTTGTGTCCCGCTGGCTGCTGAGAGCCAGCTGATCTTTGCTTCAGAATGGGAAGGTGACGAAAGAAACAGCTGTGGTTTACGACCCCCGACAGCAAGATTAGAGCCCAGATGTCAGATATGTATGTCTTTAGCCTGATAAAGAAATGTCCAGTTCCTTATCTCTTTAGTATGATAAAGAGTCTCTTGTAATTACCTTGTAATGAATAACAACACTTCTAACCTTTGTAAAAATCATATATAAGCTCTAAGGTAAAAATGCCTTTTGGGACTCTGTAGAGACAGCGTGCGTTGCTTTTGGATCCCCGTTGGTGGACACTTCCTAAATTAAAACTTTCTTACTCTTTCTGACTTGGAGTATATTTCATGGGCTCGACTGCTCCAGGGCATGGACCCTATTCGGGTAACAAGAGTTGATCACTAGCCCAGTTTAGGATGAGGTAGCTTAAACTGTGGCTATAACAGTCAAAAGGGAGAATATTAAAATATCTTAGGCAAAATTTCAATATGAAATTTTCATTTAGTATATTAAGTTGTCCATTATAATTTCTAATAAAGCTAAATTTTTGGCATGGCTACTAGTACTAGAATTGCTTCAAAATAAATAAATTATATTTGATAAAATTGGCAAATGGTTTGGTAGCATTCTTGGTGTGGAACCTCAGATATGCCTTGATTCTTTGATCATAAATTTTTTCCAACTATAAATCCATTTTTTTGCTCTTAACCATCAAAAGTGATACTTGTCAACTTTCTTTAAGGTATGCTTTCTTTAAATCCTTAGCTAGGAAGATTTTCTCAAGCTTTACTTTCTGTCATTTGTGTTTTTGTTTTTTTTTTTAAAAAAAGCTATAATAAATATGCTGTATCCTCCTGCCCTCATTCACTAATCTAAAACAAGAGTTTCTGAAAGCATATTCATAGAACATTAACCCACAAAATTTTACACAAAAAATGGTCCCATGCCTAATCCTGTTTAGCAGGGATTTGTAAAGCATATCAGCATATTAAAGAATCCAAGTCCTATAAAACCTCTAAAGTTTTAGTGTGTTGTTATTTGACCATGGAACCCCTTTCCTCAATACCTATTAACTTTCCATGACACCAGCATTTCCTTAGAGCACATGTGGGGAAACAATGCCATGGAGTCCAGATTTTCTCTTCAGTGATTACGTTTCTATGCTCTGTACCTGGTTATTTTGTTTGGGTTCTAGAAGCTCACTAAGGTATTTGTCTCACAAGCAAGTACAGAACACTGAAAACACCGAGTAACTGAATTCACAGCATGCTGAATTTTCAAAGCAGGGATTTAGGGTCTATGCATCTCCCCCTTCCCCCGCCCCCAGTTGGCCTTGTATTTATAGCTAAAGATGTTGAAGAGACAATAGCAGTGACAGCTACACCGCCTTCCACTTTCGATGGCAGGGTGTGGCCTGCATTCACCATTGAGCCCTATAAGATGTTAGCCAGCCCCAGACCTCAAAGAAAAGCATCCTAGAATTTGAATCAACATTGAATTCCATTCCAAGGCTATGTGGGAAAAAGATCTGGTTTTTGCTGCCCTTGTTTATATCTTGTAACTACTATAAGAAAAAGTGCGGTAAGAAACAAGTGTTTCCTAAAGTCTGTGTAAGTAAAAATACTGGTGGTATGAAACTGGAGGAAAGGTTCAACGGGATTCCTGAAGAGTCTACATTCAGCAGTTGACAGCACCTGTATTTGCTGGAGGAGGAGGAGAGGGGGTTGTAATGAATTGGGCTGCCTGGACAGGCCCACTGGCCCCTTTTCCAGAGCTTCCCAAAGACTCTAAGAACAGATTTGGGCAGCAGACTGCCTCAGAAATAAGTACTTTTTATACAACAGCAATTATTGCAATATTTTTTATTTCACATCGCCAGTTAGAAGCCATTTATATTATTGAGTAATAGTGGCACTCAGGATTTTCACTCTTCACTTGGCACGTGTCTTCTAAAGAGCATTCCAGGTCAGAAGAAGAAAGCAACTTGGCCATAACAGAATTGTCAGTCTGCAATTCAGGTGCCCTCATGTCTCCATGAGATACCAGCTGAAGCTCTTTTATGAGGAGCAGTCCTCAGTGTCCACCTGCACTGGATTCCATTGGTACACCTGTGTGTGTGGTGGAGGCAGCCAGTCTTGCCTGTCTTTCCTGTCTCTAAGCTAGGGACTGGTGGTCAGGATCCTGACAACAAGCCCCAGGATCAGTGTGGCTGACGCTGCCCCCAAAGCAGCCCCTCGGCGGATGGCCAGCTGTTTCACTGACAATGTGTTGGCAGAAACCGAAAGGCTGAGGGCTGTTTCTGGCATCCTGAAAAGGTCCATTGGGCACTCAGGCCTTGAATATGTTGTCAAGGTGATGCCAGGGGAGCTGCCCATAGCCACTGCAGAAGCAAACAGGAACAAACTCAGGCAGTGCTGTGGGCGGAGGGAATCAAAAAGCCTACGTTAACCGCCTGACTTGTCACGCTGTGTGACTGGTTAATTAACCTCTGTGCCTTGTGATAGAAAATTCCTGTACAATGGCAAAATGCCTGCTTTGTCTACCAGCAGGATCAGATGAAGAAATATGTGGGAAAGCTTAATCTGTGAGTTGATGTACAAATAAAGCTTACTACTTGGTCAGATGAAGAATCTTTCTGTCCGAACCTGTCCTTGTGATGACACGTCACCTTGAATGTTAATTGTGTATGACTTCAGAAGAGCATATTAAATGCTTAGTTGATTTTGTCTTACCAAATTTCTCTCATGACAACTTAAGCACTCAGCACTTTAGTCAGCTGGCTCCTGACTGCTCTGATCAAGGGAAGCCCAGGATGAGATGCAGCCCCTTGCATATAACCTGTAAGAGTTGTGAGCTACATAGACACCTGACAGGTAGTGCCAGCCTTGGGGTGTGAGGGGCTCTGTGCCTCAGAGCTGCGGCCATCACTGTATCACTTGGACATTGGATGTAAACCAGAGAGGTTTCAACTGTCTTGATGGTCCAGGCTGACATCTCTGGACCAGCCACTGTGGGCAAAGATGAAGGAAATCACCTATTCCCTCTGATCTGGGACGGAGTTTAGTGAGTGAGAATGTGAGTTTACCAGTTGACAGGTCTGTGCTTGCATCTTTTATCTTTATTAGTTGTGTAATGATGGGGAAAATACCTAATTTCTCTGCAACTTTGTTTCTCATCTGAAGTTAGGAATACATGTTATTTGTTCACAAGCCTAAGGCTGTAAATTACTTGTTGCAGTGTCTGGTACTTGCATGCCTGAAAAATAATGGATATTATTATTGTCTTCCTGGCACTTAGGACATCATTTTCATGATGATAGGAAGGAAAACACTTGGGCTTACACAGTTTCCAATCACATGATCCACACAGAGGCTTAATGGGGAAGCACTGGGCTTAGCCAAAATAGGTGCTCCATTAACTATTAAACGAATGAAGCTGGTTGTAACACAGAGGGCAGCCAGGAACAATGTGCCACTGACAGTTTTGTGTACCAAAGCAGAAGACAGCATGACATTACCTGAAGATGCAACCATCTTCTCAGGCCCAGGTCTGGGAACTGTGTGCTCTGCCTCTTGCTGCTGCGGGCCTGCATGTTTCTGAGCCTAAAGGAGAGAGAGCTGCCTAAGTCAGCCTGCCAGCCCTCTTGGCACCACTGGCCACCACTGGCCTCATGTACCCCCTGCCTTGGAAACATTACAAGCTAAAACAGGACATACTAATATACTCCTTGTGACAAAAGAGTTTTAATCCTCCTGGAATCAAGGTTTCTGGCTTTCATGGGAGTTGGGGTAACCCACACAGGTCATCCGCGCTTAGGTGTCCTTTTTGAACCTTGTAGGAACTGGTTCACTGGAGTCACCTTTAGGTTAAACAATAGCTTAGTAAGCAGTTTAGTGGAGTTGTTTGCCTTTAGATATTGGGTTCTTTTGGAAAATTTTCTCTGTGCAGCGCATTTCGAGAAGCAGGCACGCCAGGTTCTGACTAGAGGCTGTTTTAGGATGTATGGCTTATCCCTGGTGACTCTGTAACCTGCCCTGTGCTCTTTTGAAGAATTCAGTTTCGGGAAACAGATTCCAAACTCAGAGTGGGAGCTATGTTTAGGGTAAATCAGTAATTATTTTAATTGTTCTTCAAGATAATGCTGTATGAAAATCCTTCTTGACCACAGATTTGTTTATCAGTTGTGTTCCCACCCTTTTTTTCCTTGGCAATGCCGATAAGATTTGGTTTAAGAATTTTGGAAGTTCGTTTCATCTTCGGAACATTTCTGACACTGTAGTTGAAATATTACCCTGAGTTGCAAATTGTATATTCAATAAACTTCTATCAGTTTCTGTTATTGGCTTAATATGATTTTTGTTTCAACGGTAGTTTTTATTGTGTGTGTGTTTACTGTTGTTGCTTTAACTCTGTACCAGTGTCTTAAGACGGCAAGATGACTTTATCCACACACACACACACACACACACACACACACACACACACGAAGCAAAACCATACCCTGATCTTTGAAAGAACACCTACCTTCCCCTCTTTACTGTGTAGGAGAAACAAATGCCAGCTTGCTCCACTTAAAACTTCATCTGAGAGGATTGTGGATAGGGTGATTTTGTGACCTCTTCCAAAGTCAAGACACACTTTGGGGGCTCCTCTGTATTCAGCCTAGTTTGATTGAGCTCTTTGCTTTTGTTTGGTTTTCAGCAGGTGGGGTTGTCTAAGGAAGGCTTTTGGTTTTGGGTTTCTCTTTGTAACTGCAGAGTGTGTTCTTAACCTGAACTATCTGGAGCCCAATTAGAATGACAGGAGCAGGTGTTGAGGCTCAGGTGGCTCTTCCCTGGCCTCCACCCCACCCTACCCCACCCGACCCTATATCACAGATCAGTGCTGCCAAGTCTTGGTGTGCTCCGGGCATTTCTGGCTAAGCAGCCACTCTCCTGTCTTGGGCCAGGTGCAGGGTGTGTCTTCTGGGCTAAAGGCTGTTGATTTACTCACCTCCTCTGCAGCTAACTTCCAGTTAATCTGGGCAGTGTAGGCAACAAAGGCAGCAGCTGCCAGGAGGGCACAGGCCAACATGCCTAGCCAGAGGCCTGTAGGAGACAAATGACAATAGGTAGAGTGTCACATGAACACCCCAGACCTTTTCCCAGATTTTCCTCACACCTCATACCCATGATCCTCATTCTAACCACAAAGGTCAGAATGGCGCCCAGTGGGAGGCCAATGACATAATACATGATCGAATTCACAATGGCTCCAAAGGCCTGCTTCCCGGTACCTCTCAGTACTCCACCATAGACACACTGGGAAGAGAGGCAGAAAAGAACTAGGGATTAGTAATGATGAGATTGATAGCTGTAACAGAAGCAACAGGTACTTTTCTAAGTAATTACATTGCATTGCCTTATTTAATTCTCACAACACTAGGATGATGTTATAGATTGAATTGTTTCCCCAAAAGATACGTTGAAGTCCTAACTCCCAGCACCTGTCAACGTGACTTGTTTGGAAATAGGGTCTTTGAAGATGTTTTCAGTTAACATGAGGTCATACCAGAGTAGAGTGGGTCCTAATCCAATCTGAGTGATATCCTTATAAAACAGAAGAGAAACAGAAGGAAGATGGCCATATGATGATAGAGTGTTGCTGGAGCTGCAAACCAAGGAACACCTAGGGCCACCAGAAACCAGGAGATACAAGAAAAGATCTTCCTCTAGAGCCTTTGGAGAGAAGATGGGCCTTCAGACATCCTGAATTTGGACTTCTAGCTTCCAAACCTGTGTGTCAATATATTTCTGTTCTTATAAGCCATCAAGGTTATTTTATTTGTTTTGGCAGCCCTAGGAAACTAATACAGATGAGTACTCTTATCCATCTTTCCTCCATGAGGAAACTCAGTCACAGAGAGTTACACTTGCCCAATGTTACACAAAAGTACCTATGTTGTGAACTCAACTCCAGAGCCCCTAATCTTCACCTCCACACCATACTACCTTGCTAGAAAGTAAAGGTAGAATTGGTGACCAACCAGCAGTCCAGGACTCTGGGAGACTGGACTAACAATATGGCAGAGACGTGATGTAGTAGTTTCTTGTTGCTGCTGTAGCAAATTACCACAAACTTCATTTCTTAAAATAACACAAATTTATTATTTTATAGTTCTGGAAGTCACAAGTCAAAAGGGTCTCATTGGGCTAAAACCAAGGGCTGTGATCCTTCTGGAGGCCCTAGAAGAGACTCCATTTCCTTGCCTTTTCTAGCTTCTAGAGACTATCTGCATTCCTTGGCTCATAGCCCCCCAACAACAGTAGTATCTCCAGCCTCTGCTTCTGCAGTCACATTTTCTGACTGTGAATGTACTGCCTCTTTCATTTATAAGGAACCTTGCAATTACATTGGACCCACTTGCATAATCCAGAATAATATCCCCATCTCAGTATCCTTAACTTAATCACATCTGTGAAGTGTCTTTTGCCATGTGAGATAACATTCATAGGTTCCAAGAATTAGCACATGGGCATCTTTGGGGGCCATTATTCTGCCCACCGTAAGTGTCATGCAAAGGTGTTCTCTCATTCCATATGATACAGGCAGCCCTTGCCTACTCCATCACTGTCATTATGTTCACAGATGGGAATTGCTCCGGAAAAAGTGGAAACTCTGCTTTTATTAGTCTCATTCTCCCAACTTGCTCTTAGGTCTAATGAACTGCAGAACTACAGGCATAGCTCATGCTCAGTCAGCATTACTGACCAGCAGGTATTTGATTATTTTTATTTTGTTAATATGAGGGATGGAAAGTATTCAATGGTTTGATTTTTACACATTTGAACGAAGAGGTATTCATTGGGGTTAGGAGATATGCACCTCTTGAAATTTGAAATAAGGTGTGCACATTTCTGGTTATATATCATGGCATAGAAGACGATCTTTTTTGGTTAGGAAAAAAAAAAGACTTCTCCCAAATTATGATTGATGTGCTCTGGACCAATGGTTCTCAACTAGGGGGTGATTTTGCCCCCCATGGGACATTTCTCAATGTATGGAGCCATTTTGGTCGTCACAACTGGAGGGAAGTGGATAACAGGCATCTAGTAGGGATGCTGCGAAACAAGATAGTCCCCCCTACAACAAAAATTTATCTGCTGAAAATGTCAGTTGTGTTAAGGTTGAGAAGTCCTTATTCAGAGCATCATAAACTAAAAATTTCAGTGGCAAGTGCACAGGAAGGCCAGATGGCCCCATTAGTCTGAGGCTGTGGTCCTATTTAGGACAGGCAATGGACTGGCAGACTAGACAGGGATTTAACAAGGAATTCCATGAAATAAGACAGCCAGAGGGGGCTTGAAAAGTTCTCCGCATATCCCAAGGACTGGAGGAGCAGTTCCAAACCTCCCACACACCCCTCGAGAGTGGAGCTTATGCACATGGGCAGAAGAGATAGGAGAGGGCAAATAAGGGTATTATATAATGATAAAGGGGTCAATTCATCAAGAAGATACAGCAATTACAAATAAATACACACCTAACAAGAGAGCCCCAAAATATATGAAACAAATATTTTTGGAATAGAAGGGAGAAATAGACAGTTTCACAATAATAGTTAGACACTTCAATATGCCATTTTCAGTAATCGATAGAACACCTAAACATAAGATCAGTATCGAAATAGAGAACTTGAACAAAACTATAAACCAATAAGGCCTAACAGACATATATAGAACACTCCACCCAACATCAGCAGAATACACATTCTTCTCTAGTGCACATGGACCATTCTCCAGGATAGACCATATTATAGCTTATAAAATAAATCTCGAATTTTAAAAGATTGAAATTGTACAAAGTATCTTCTCTGACCACTAGGGAATGAAACTAGAAATCAATAACAGAAAACTGGAAATTTCACTAATATGTGGAAATTAAACAACACACTATTAAACAACCAATGAGTAAAAGAAGAAATTATAAGGGAAATTAGAAAATACTTTGAGATGAATGAAAACTTATGGATGAAGCAAAGACAGAGCTCAGAGGGAAATTTAGAGCTGTAAATACCAACATTAAAAAAGAAGAAAGGTCTCAAATCAATAAGCTAACTTCACACTTTGAGGAATTAGAAAGAAATGAGTAAACTAAACCCAAAGCTATCAGAAGGAAAGAAAGAATGAAGATTAGAGCAGAGATGAATGAAAGAATAGAAAAACAATGTACTCAACAAAACCAAAAATTGGTTCTTTGAAAAGAACAATAAGATTGACAAAACTTTACCTAGACCAACAAAGCAAAAAAGAGAGAAGATACAAATAACTAAATTCAGTAATTAATGTGGGGATGTTACTACCAATCATAAAGGGAAGAAAAGATTTTTTAAGAGAATACTATGTAGCCCTGGTGGTGCTGTGGTTAAGAGCTATGGCAGTTCAAATCTACCAGCTGCTCCTTGGAAGCCCTGTGGGGCAGTTCTTCTCTGTCCTCTAGGATTGCTATGAGTTGGAATCGACTCAATGGCCATGGGTTTGGTTTTTTTGGTTTTATGAACAATTGAATACCAACAAATCACATAATCTAGATGAAATAGACAAAATCCTAGAAACACACATATTACTAAAACTGACTCAAGAAGAAATTGAAAATCTCAATAGGCTTTTAAAAAGTGAGGAGATTGAATGAGTAATCAAAAGCCTCTCAACAAATAAAAGCCGAGAGCCAAGTGGCTTCACTGGTGAATTCTACCAAACATTTAAAGGAGAATTAACACATCCGTTCTCTAACTCTTGAAAAAATAGAGTGGAGGGAACACTTCCTAACTCATTCTATTATGCCAGCATTACCCTGATCCCAAAGCCAGATAAAGACACCACAAGAAAAGAAAACTACAGACCAATATCCCTTATGAATATGGATGCAAAATTCCTCAACCAAATATTAGCAAACCAAATCCAACATCATATTAAAAGGGTTATACACTATGACCGATTGCGATTTTATCCCAGGAATGCAAGGCTGGTTCAATATAAGAAAATTAATCAAAGTAATATACCACATTAATAGAACTAAGAAAAAAAACACATGATCATCTCAATTCAAGCAAAAAATGCACTTGACAAAATCTCAAACCCGTTCATGATAAAAATAATAAACTCGGAATAGAAGGAAACTTCTTCAACATGGTAAAGGCCACATATAAAAACCCACAGCTAACATCACTCTAAACAGGGAAAGACTGAATGCTTTGTTTCAGGAACCATACAAGGATGATCACTTTTACCACTGCAATTCAACATTGTACTGAAAGTTCTAACCACAGCAGTTAGGCAAGAAAAAACAAAAGGCATCCAAATAGTAAAGGAAGAATTAAAACTGTCTTTATTCACAGATGACATGATCTTATATATAGAAAATCCCAAGGAATCCACAAAAAAACCTACTAGAAAGATTAATTCAGCAAAGTTGCAGAGTACAAGATCAGTTGTGTTTCTATACATAGTAATGTACAATCTGAAAAGGAAATTAAGACAACAATTTCATTTATAATAGCATCTAAAAGATTAAAATACCTAGGAATAAATTTAAACAGGAGATGAAATACTTGTGCAATGAAAAATACAAAACATTGCTGAAAGAAATTAAATAAGACCTAAATAAACAGAAAGCCATCCTAGGTTCATGGATTGGAAGACTTAATATAGTTAAGATTTCAATCCTACATAAAGGAATCTACGGATTCAATATAAGCCCTATCAAAATTACAACAGCCTTTTTTGCAGAGATGGAAAAGCCAATCCTCAAATTCATATCGAATTGTAATAGGCCCCAAATAGCCAAAACAATCTTGAAAAAGAATAACAAAGTAGGTGGACTCACACTTCAGATTTCAAAACATACTATAAAGCTATGGTAATCAAAACAGTATGGTACTGATATAAGGATAGACATATTACACAATGGAATAGAATCGAGAATCCAGAAATAAATTTATGACCAATTGATTTTCGACAAGGGTGCCAAGTCCATTCAATGGGAAAAGAATAGTTTCTTCAACAAGCGGTGCTTGGACAACTGAATTTCCACATGCAAAAAAGTGACGTTAGACCCATATCTCACACCATGTCTGAAAACTAACTCAAAATGGATCAATGACCTAAACGTAAGAACTAAAACTATAAAACTCTTAGAAAAAACATAGGGGTAGAGCTTCAACACTCTCCTTTTTTAAAAAATGAATTCTTAGATATGACACCAAAAGCATGAGCAACAAAAGACAAAATGGATAAATAGGACTTTATCAAAATAATAATAA